GAATCCATTATTCATTATCCGTTATTTATTATCCGTTATATATTTTCTGCTATCCCTATCTATTATCTAATAACCACCACCAACTACTCATTACCACTATCTGCTGAATTTTAACCATTACATCAAACAGGCTCTTTAACTCTTCAAATAAAAAGAACTTGACCAAGTTACTATTTACCAACTTTAAATCTTTATTTTGGAGTTAATGTTAGAAATTCTCCCGTAAAATTGGTAGAAGTTCAAACATAAACACATATAGCCTACATAGGATCTTTTTGTTTTATCAACAGCAAAAATTCATTAATAGGGTGCAAACTATTGTTAAATTTAGGATATAATTATTATATTACAGTTTTGGTGTAATTTGAATTACAAACCTCTGGAAACATTTTTTTTTTTTTAATTTTGAACATTGGAGAAACATGAGGGAATGAGAGAGTTTTTTAAACAGTTGTGGTAAAAATCGAACAATTAAACCCAAACATTAAGTTTGACAACAAACTACTAGAAACATATTTTGATTTCAAGAGAAAGGGAACTAATATAATTAGTAATTAGGTTATCATGGGTAGCATCACCATAGACTTTTACCATCTCCAGTGTCCAGCATGTGACAGACACATAGTTGACTAAGTTCATTTCATCACGTTCATTGTTCAATCAACTTCATCATCCAACTTCATGATGATCAACGTCCCACAACCCTCCACGTGTTGTGAAAACCAGATATCACATCCTTGATGCGACCCACAACAGAAACCCCCACCCTTATATTATTGATCCCTAGACTCTCCCTCTTATCCTATATACAAAGAAACAACGAAGAAAGCGCAGGAGCTTAAACAGAAGCAAAAAAAAGCTATATATCTACAAGGTTCAGGGAAGAAAGTTGGCCGGAAAATGGCGAGCATGATGTGCGGACAGCGAGATTTGAACCTGAAAGCCACAGAGCTGTGCCTGGGACTGCCAGGAGGTGGTGGTGGGGGTAGTGGTGGTGGAAATGAAGTGATGGAGACCCCCAAGGCTACCGGAAAGAGAGGGTTCTCTGAGACTGTTGACTTGAAGCTGAATCTTCATCCCAAGGAAGCCGTCATGGATCTGAACGAGAACAAGAACTCTGCTTGCAAGGAGAAGAATCTCCTCCCAGCTGCCTGCACCAAAGATCCTGCGAAACCACCTGCCAAGTAAGCTTTCCTTAGGTTTCTTCCACTCTCTGCAAGAAAGTTAGAATTGTTACGGTTCACATGCGAGAATATATGAGATAAGTAGGAGCATATGCGTCCATATGAATCTATCAGTTTAGACTTTTGAGTTCAAGGCAGTATATTTGAAAGAAACTAGAGTGTTGTAGTAAAATGATATTGATGTTAGGGAATCTTACTTTGTTGTTGTTTTGGGTTTTTAGGGCTCAGGTGGTGGGTTGGCCACCAGTTCGATCTTATAGGAAGAACTTGATGGCTCAGAAGAACAGCAAAGAGGAGAGCGAGAAGGCGAGCAGTGGCGCTGCAGCATTTGTGAAGGTTAGCATGGATGGTGCACCTTATCTTCGGAAGGTGGATTTGAAGATGTACAAGAGCTACCAAGAGCTGTCTGATGCCTTGGCCAAGATGTTCAGCTCCTTCACTATGGGTAGGCATATTCAATTATTGCACTTCAATAAAAAATAATAATATTATTATTAATCATATATAAACATATAGACACACACACAATAATAGTATTTATCTTAAGAAATAGTCCTTGGAAAAAGCTCAGGAAAGCCAGTTATTAGAAAAAAAATTTAAGGGGAAAATTGGTTGAGTGCTTTTTCGGGGTTTCTTCATGAACGTTCTTTTTACCATTTAACATGACTATTTGTTATTGTTTATTAAAGGCAATTATGGGGCTCAAGGAATGATAGACTTTATGAATGAGAGCAAATTGATGGATCTTCTCAACAGTTCTGAGTATGTCCCAACCTATGAAGACAAGGATGGTGACTGGATGCTCGTGGGTGATGTTCCATGGGAGTAAGTTCCTTGTACCCCTTATGCCAAGAATTAGCATATTTCAAAAAAAAAAAAAAAAACCCTCAATCATAGACTAACTAGAGCATAAATATTTAATTTTTTGGGTGAATAAATATTCAATTTATTAATAAATTTTTTTTTTTAAAAAAAAATTGCGCTGATAATCCTTACTTTCATGTTTATAGGATGTTTGTTGATTCATGCAAGCGTCTTCGCATAATGAAAGGATCTGAAGCAATTGGACTTGGTATGGTTTCTATGTCAAATTAAAGTATCTTTTTCTTTATATTCATCAGCAATCTAGGGGTTATGCAGATTTGAAATCTTAAACTTCTAAGAACTTCAATCTATATATATGTCCTTTAATATGACAAATCGAGGTTACTAAATTAATTTTTCTGCAACTTTTCAGCCCCAAGAGCCATGGAGAAATGCAAGAGCAGAACCTAAAAAATCTCAGCTTGGTCTTGGTGCTGCTCCTTTTCTGTGTCTTACTGGACAAAGGCATGAACAGAAGCATAGATTCAAGCAAAGGGAACTGTTGATCTTTTGGATGTGTCTGTATTTTTTTATTTTGTTTTGCTTTTGTTTGATGGTATATAGATATTAAGAGAGAGAAAAAAAAAAGGAAAAAAAAGAAGAGAGATCTGTGGACATTTGTAAAAGACAAGAAGCAATAAACTTAACACTATTGTCTGGGTTGTTTATTGCTTATAATGAACTCGTTTGTTTGATCATAATCTTCATATTGGCTGTCATAGTTGTTTGTTTTGTGTTTTAATCTCTTTAATACTAAATTTATTTTCAATTCTTATTGTCCTCAAAAGATTCTTTCATATCAAGTAATTCTATTCAATTAATGTTATTATTGTTTACTTTTTTATTGAATTTACAATAATTTATGGGGAAGGGCATGAGGTGAGGGAACATGGCCATGTGCTCTCTGTCGTCGATGGGGGCTTTGATTATGGGATTTTGGGCTTTGTTTAAAAATTAGGATTAGGGTTTGATGAATGAATGTGGTTGGGTTAGTAGAAGCAGCTCCATGTTTGGTTTGGGTTTATTATTCTATAATTATAATTAAATTAATTTTATGGGATCACCAA